AATTCCTCTACGCAAAAGTGAATTTTCTAAACATCAGCTGAATTGTTTTACATAAACACGTCTTTGTATTGCCATTTATAGTTTCCTTGAATCGTCGCTCACAAAAATATAAAATATGTTATAAAGTATATTTATATATATTCTAAGCTCTAGATTATATCACATTCTGAATTCTTAAGAAATTAATAAAATTATAAATATCTATTGACGAGAAACTAACTCAGTATATGTTTTTTAAAAATTAGTTTGTGGTAAAAGACGCAGATCTTTAGTATTTCATTTTGAAGTGTCTAAGCTAGTGTTTAACATGAAACAAAATTTTCCAATTTATTTAAAAAGAAAAGGTTGTACATATCTTTATTCTTTTCATTGTATTACAATACTATCATGTTTGACAAATTATGCAGAATAGAAAGATAATAAGATCATTAGTAACAATAGTAGATATGCATTATGGAGTGGTTGTACTTAATTAACTATTCTGTACACGTACAAACACAGTGACTCGATGTTGTTCTGTCGTTTGTGGTTAGAGATACAGAGGAATACGAACTATTGAATATGTAGGACCTGTTGCGACGGTGCATACTGAGAGAGGGCTACATTTAACATCCTGCTGTCTTCATATACAGGATCTATTTCTTATTCTCTATTGAATAGCACCTACCCCTGATTTATTCAGAATATAATTTTTAATAATATATAATAATAATATAATTTTAATATAATTTTTAATAATAATTTTGAATTATATGAATAGGACCTACCCCTGATTTATTCAGAATATAATTTTTAATAATATATAATAATAATATAATTTTAATATAATTTTTAATAATAATTTTGAATTATATGAATAGGACCTACCCCTGATTTATTCAGAATATAATTTTTAATAATATATAATAATAATATAATTTGATAATATAATTTTTAATAATAATTTTGAATTATATGAATAGTGAAATAAAACTGTAACGCTCAAAAGTGATAAATGGGAAAAGTGATACGCAGGAGGGGGGAGGGGTACAAGCAGAAAAACGTGCAAGAATGGATCCTGGTACAAATAGTGTCCCTTGCTCAGAAGAAGTCACCGTAGTGGTAGAGGGGTAAAGGGGTTCCAATCGCTCCGCATGACCTCTCAATGACCTATGACCTCTCAAAACAACTTCTATTGGTAAGGGGTAGTGTAGTGTTTCATTTTCTTACTTTGTCTCGATTGTTTTATGCCTTCTGATACTTGTCGCGCATCTGGCTTGTCTGTGTCCTGTAAATGATACATACATACATATATATGTATATGTGTGTATATATCGGCTCGAGTCCTGTCGATTAAAAACAAACGTTTCCTGACTCCCGTCAGCATTTCACTCCCCCGTGGTCGCCATTTTCGGCTAGGAGCACATCAGGCGTGCGCCTCTCTCTCTCTCTCTCTCTCTATATATATATATATATATATATATATATATAT